TCCTTTGCAACTCCACTTGTTAATTTGTAGAACTCAAAGTACTTTGCAAAGACCTCAGCATTAATGCTGACTGCTTGGAAACAGCAAAGATCAGTTGCAGAGGGTCACCTGAAACGGTCCCGCAAGTTGGTGGAAAAAACCATCCTTACGTCCCAGCTCAGTGCTTGGCCTTGTGGCAGTGTCATGTTTGATCCCTTCCAGAAGGGTATAGATATCCACTGGAGGGACTGGCATCATACTTGCACTGTCTGACTAGATTTCTCATTCAGGAAGCATCAGTCAAACAGCAATTTCCATTCAGGTAGTCTTGGAGCTGTGGAGTGAACAACTCAGCAAAGAAGGTCTCTAAAATGAACGCATGAGCATTTCAGGGTGATTTTCCTTCTGAACTGCGCTGAGTAGTGAAATGGGAGTCCTGCTGATTTTGGGGGAAGGAGGAGGACTGAGCCTGAAATATGTATTTAACCCAATCTCAGTAAAGCTCTTTCCTTTCAGACCTGCTTAAAAACAGTATTTCCCTCCCATTTTATCCCTTTCTTTCTATTGGGAAAGCTGCCAGAGGAGGACTGAGCTGTTTCTGTCTGCATGGATCCAGCCCGTGTCCAGAGAGGCCAGGCAGGGAAGAGGGAATAAGCCCAGCACACAAGTCATGCATTTTGCAATCACATCCCAGGCCCACCTCCCAGCCCCATCCCCATGTTTGCATGGGGATGCCCTCTTTCTGCCTGTGGAAAGAGAGAGTTCTTGCTCCAGTCCGAGGACCCAATCTGCCCAGCTATCTGAAAGAGCTTCTCCAGATCCATTTCCAAGATCAAACCTAGCTCTGAAACAACGTAAATCAGGAGAATGACTCCATTGAACTAGGACCAAAAGAGCCCAGAGGTGAAGTTTAGAATACAACTTTAGCTTGTTACATTTTTTTTTCTCCTGAGATTGAAAGCAGCAAACGCAGAAGCTGTTTTACTGAGGATCACTTACAGTTTCTCAGTATCTAAAGAAGTAACCTTAAAGAAGTAACCTTAAATCTTTCCTCATTTTGGCCTCTTGCCCATTTTGTGGGCAAATTTTACCTGCTCTGAGCAATGGGTACCCATGACAGCATGTTCTTTTTTCCTAATATATTAATTTGAAATCTACTTCTTTAATATAGAACCTTTTTGCTGCTTGGAAGTGAAACAGGACCATAGCTTCCCTGGTTTGGGCTGGCCTGGCCTCCGGTTTACAGATGGGATTTGGCGATTGCTCTCTTGGCAGAAGTCATGATTTTGCAGATTTCTGAGCGAAGCTAGTTCTTGGCATTGCTGGGGTGCTGCTTGCATCCAAATCCTCTAAGCCCTTCATGACCAGTGAGGGCTTCATTGCACTTTGGGTTGTGGACCTGAATGTGGGAGTGGAAAAGCCGCAAAACCTCTTGGGGCCCGGTGGAGAATGTGATGCCATGAACGAAGTCAGGCAGTAGTTAGGGGCTGTGAGTGGGTTATGGACAAAATCCAGATATCTCGATTCCCCCATTTATACCTGAGGACATCCCTATACCACATGTGTTACAGGCAGGTGGGAAGGGCCCTAGGAAACTTGTTTCATAGTTATTGCTGTAAGTGGCTGAACAATCAAAATTTGGGGACTGGTTAATCAAAACTGACGTTGAAAGAAGTAGGTGTGTTCTGGAAATAGTTTCCTTTGGATTTTCATCAAGAGATGACACGCATCAGATCCTGTTCTTGCAGCCTGGCACCAAACCCAGCTGAGCCTTGGACTTGGTTCTGCACGTTCTCCCGCTTCGTTACTCATGCGCGCAGGTGGACGCAGAAACCTCCTGCATGACACAAACTGTAGGCAGCGTGTCCGCGAAGTGCCTCAAAACAGGCATCTGTTAAACGACGTGCATGACAAAATTTTGTACCAACAGAAATTGGCCTGCAAAGATGTTTTGGAGCAGCAAGCCACGCTGTGATTCAAGACTTATATGTTAGCGAAAACTGCCAAGCTGCCGTGGCTGGACTCAATCTCTGAATCCGCGCTGCTGTACTTGCGGAGTTAAAAACAAATGTCTGGAGCCGAGGAGGCTTGTGGAGCCCGTCCATGGCAGTAGGCGGGAGATACTTCTGCATTAACCACCTTTTGTTTCGATGCTCCTGTCTGGCCTCCCTGTGAGAGCTGTGGTCGGATGTCAGGGTTGTAAGCCTGCTGCATACCAGCGCTAGGCAGGGCTTTTACAGTTTCATCCAAGGATCTCCCAATGTGTCCTAACAGTGTGCCAGATCAGATCATTTCCTCCAGGGTCCTGAGGCATGTAGTTCTCTTTTTAGCCTCTACTTTCTGGAGTCCTGATTCTATGGACATTTCAATTATATTTAATAAGAATAAAAAGCCTTTCTAGCACCTCTGGTTTGTCCATCCCCTCCAAGTCTTTCAAGTCCAAGCCACACACCCCTTTCACAGCGTATCCAGCCTCCAACTATTTTTTCCCCTGTCCTGCACCACATATCGCCACCCCGACCCAAAGGACCTTGCCCCATGGACCAGCTGCTGGCGTCCCAGCACTGCGAGGCACCCAGGTGGTGCGGGAGGACTTCCAGCGATGGGAAGGACAGCTCCCTGGCTAGGTCCCAAGCCAAGGAGGAGGAAGTTTTTTGAACCCCCCACCACCAACAGTGGCCTTGGCAGAGCTAACCCATCACGTGCCTCCCTCTCTGGGGTCTCCATGTTGTGCTGGTGGCTGTGGGAAGATTATGAAACCATCCGTCCTGGGGAGGAGGGAGAGCCAGGACTTTCCCCAAGCTCTTTAGGTTTGTTAAAGGAAACGTGGAGACGCTAACGGGTGTGAAATACCACGTGCATTGTGAAAATTCAACATTTCTTTGCTTCAGCCTTATCAAAACATCTTGTTTTGACACAGCATGACAGCCCTGGACCGTGGCAGTCAAATCAATATGCTTCCAAGCCATCTAAAGGACTGTGATCTTTTCCAGCCCAAAATTAGGCAGAAGTTAGTCCTTCTCTGCAAAATGCTTTTGTATTGCCCTAGGCAGATGAAAGGACCTGAAGGACTTTCAATCAATCTGCGACGTCCCCCGGCAGCGCTTCCCCAGTGGCTTCTCGCTCCTTTGCCTGTGTCCTCGCGGGTGAGGCTGTCCTCACCTCCCAACCAGAGGGGCTGGAGGGAGCTCGCAGCTTTCTTGCACTCGGATCCCCCAATAATGACTGCTGGGAGGAGTGTGGTTTTGGCACAACTGGCAAGCTGAACCTGCTCTGCTTTGCCCGGCTTCCAGCATCCCGCCACTGTGCCAGGATGGCTCGTGTGGCCGGCACGCGGCGGCGGCGGAGGAGGCACCGCTTGGCTGGGAGAGAGAGGCCGATTTATCTGGAGCGGGAGGACAGCATGGGCGGCGCGGCTGCCAGCGTTCGCGGTGTGCGCTCGCTGCTGCACGCGGAGGTTTGCAGAGCTCCCGCGTAACGGCCGAGGCTGGCTGAGCCACCAACCCGGCCGCGTCTGCATCCGTGGCACGGAGCCCGGTGGGCTCAGGGGAAAGTGTTCCTCCTCCTCGCCCTGCCTCACCGCGGGATGAAAAGCCTGGCCCCCTCCCTGCCTCCGACCGCTGTTTCTGCTTTGCTTTCCCGGCCGTCTCCGGTCCAGCCCCCGCGGCTGCTTTCCCCCAGCGCGGCCCTGCGACGGGGTGCGGAAACGCCTCCCGCAGCGGGGCGAGCCCCGGCAGCGTGGGCTGGCGACGGGCTGCCTCCCCGTCCTCTGCGCTTCTCTGGGGGCTTCAGCTGCAGGATGGGCACAGGCATCGCAGGCCACCCCAGCGTGAACACCTGCAGCGGGGCTTGCTCGGGGTGGGTCCTTTTTAGCATCAGCCCCGGATTCGACAGGGAGTAAAACCATAGTCTGAATGGAGCAAGGAAATGCAGGTCACAGCTGGTATACGACTGCCAATTTCCTTTTGCATCCCACCCAGGGTGGCTTTGGAGCCCGTACTCACCTGGCGTGAGCCTCTCCAGCATCTCCTGGTACATCAGCCAGTTGCCCTCATCCCTCTCCCCAGCCTCTTCCTCCTCTGGGCCCAGTGGAAATCGGCTGTTGGATCCATGTCCGCTTCCTGTCTTGGCGAGTGATACCTCGTGCCCTTCTAGCAGGAGGATGCGTGCATGCGGTGGGGTACTAACAGCGCCAGGCAGGGCTTTGCAGCTGCACGGCCACCTCTGGTGACACCATGCTGCCCCGAAGCACAGGTGGGTCAGGATGAATCTGTCGCTGGAGACACAGTGCTTGGGTGCTGGGGGAGAGCAGGGTTCATTCCCAGCATTTCAGCCACCTCTTTCGTCCCAGCTGTAGGTTCTGCTAAGCTGGGGGCATTGGGAAGAAAGCAAAAGCAGGGGAGGTTAAGCATGAGCACTTCTGCGATGCTGGAGAAGTCACATCTGGCCAATGGCTCTGTGAACAGGGACAGCAATATGCCCCAGCCTCTCCTGGGTGACACGCAGCTCCTTCAGTGCAGAGCCGGCCTGATACTCAGTCTCGACCGTTCTAGTTGTGTGATAGATGCAAGTCAAAAATACATGCTGCCAGGGTGATACGGCAGATGCTGCATTCCTGACAGATTATTGTATGCCTCAAGTGCTGCTGTACTGCTGGAGGTTTGGAGGCTAAGTGACTATAACCATCTGAGCAGACTAATAATTCTGCAGAAATGCACTGCCTGCAGAATTGTTTTCTTGCCTCCAATACAAAATTTGGTAGTAAAAATACAGGACAGCTTTTCAGGGAGCTACCTGTGGCCAGCGCGTGAAAGCCCTGGCTGCGTAAGACAGTGCTCCTGGCCAGTCCGTCCTGCCTGCATCTGCTGGCCGCCTGCAGCGCTCCGCACCGCCTTGCCCTTTGCTCTCGGACAGCGTAACGCTGGACTTCACCCCGAACACACTGATACCGCTGGGATGGTGTAAACTTGGGCTTGTACAAACAGCAGGAAGCTCAGACCTCACTGCGTGCCCTGCTCACCCACCGCCTCTCCCCATGCTTTTTGCCAAGGTGGGAAGAGCCGGTCACCTCCAACCTGCCGAACACTGCAAACAGCATCTTCCTGGCCTGGGAAGGAGCGTGGGAAGACACCATCAGGCAGTGGCTAATAATTGGATTGTGGCTAATGCAGAACATCCCCTTGAATAGTTTCCTGATGTGGAGTTGCTCCTGGCAGGGTTCAGAGGTAG